ATACATCATTGGAAAGCTAAAAATATGCTCTTTTCAATAACATCATAATAAAGTATAGTTTGTATTTAAAAAAATACAACTTTATGTTATATCTCAAAAATTATCAGCTATATTTAAAATTTTTTAATGACAGTATATTCTACTCAAAAAAGTGCCTGTAGAATGTATTAACCCCATTTCTCTAATTTCAAAAATAAACGAAATATGAGCATTTTTTGAAATCGCTAAAATTTGACTTTTCGGCTATAACTTAAAAACAAAAGAAGATAGAGATTTGTTCTTTGCGGAATTGGATTAGTCTCGAAAAAAGAGACCGGGACATTTCACCTACTTTCTTCGTATCTCTTATAGTTTCTGAGATAGCCTATAATAGTAGAGTTTTGTTTAAAAAGTCGTAACAATAACTCGTCATTAAATGGCTTTAAAATATTGGTAATGTCATCAAATATCTCTATGAATAGAAGAAGGTTTAAAATATCTTAGGTATATTATAAAATAATAATAATGTTTGATATAATCCTTTTATTTATTTCTATTCAAAGAATACATTGTGTCGTCTAAATTCAATATCATTAAATGGATATAATACACTTTGCCCAGAATAATTTATAAATGTTAAATATTGTTTGTAATATACAAAGGTGTCGTTTACAAATGGCATAGAAAAGAAAGCGGCCTTAAAGGTATGTAGTATACTTCCCAGAAGTAAATAAATAATTTAAGTTAATCATCTAAAAGTTTACAAATTACGCTGTTATTACAAAAATCAATTAAAAATACAAAGTTATACAAGACAGTTAACCGTCATTTTCTGGACAAACTGCATAATTTTAACGGTATTAAATATAATACATCTGCAAAAGGCTTACTTATCATTAATACAACTGACAATCGCAGCTTTTTTAAGTCTATGTTTAGTTTCTTTAGAATTACAAATCTTCCTTACGATAACTTCTAAAAGTATTGACAAATATATTTATAATTCTTTTTTTTTTCTTTATTCAGACAAACGATTTCTTATTTTTCACTTTTTTACGATACAATAATAAACTTTTTTTATTAAAATGCATTTATGGAATGTTAAAAACCATTTGTCGCGATCGTGTTTTATTTTTTATTTAAAATTTCGAACGAACAATCGGAGTTACGACGTTATATGCACAAAAGGCGTTTTTAGGCGAACATCCAGTTCGGTGAAAAACCGGAATCAAATGTTTTCTTTTATTAAAATGTATTTTATAAATTGTGTATGTTATGTCTCGTGTCGGTACATTTTTTATTTAAATTTTTGCAAATGTCTCTTAAACTTACTTAAAAACTAATAACTATTTCATTTTTTTTATTAATCTATTCGGTATATAATTATGGTTTCTTTTAAAAAATTGGCAGCAGCCTTACGATATAAATTAAAAACAAAATCCTCGCGTGACTTCACCTTAAACATGTTCAGTCTATCGCGGGGCACCGTCGCATAGGAAGAAGCTTTTATTACTGTTTCATTATAAATCTACTAAATATGACCTTTTAAATATAATCTCTCGTATCATTAGTATTTTTTGGTTTTGTATAAAATTATTATATATATACTTTTCGAGTAAAATACAGCGGATCTATTCGTTCCATTAAAAAGAGATCTATTTAAATTAAAAAATTATTATAAAAAGAAATGAATTATCCGACGAACTACTGGGAACTAAAAACTAATACGTGTGCCAAATATATACGAATTTAAATATTATCATATAACTTGACTAGGTATTATTAAAATTATATCTACAACTTTTTACATGTAGTTTGTCATCATAAATATATTTATGTATATTTTATATGATCTACGTACACAATAGTTTATTGGAATAGTTAAAAGTGTTAATGGGAGGGGAAGTTTAAATTTAAAAGGAAAAGGAAACTTAAAAATAATGTACATTATATAGAGTGGCTTCTTAAAAATTGAAGAATTTGAAGATATCATAACTTGTTTATTTTTTATTACTTTTATTTTATTATTAATGGGTTAGGTTGTAGATGATTTGAAGATTTATTTTTCTGCGTATGATTTTAGGCATTCAACTCTTCATTTTACTGAAATATCAAACAAAAAACATTTTAATTCAATCAAATTTTACTTATTAAGTTTAGATAAGTTTATTGGGTTGGGTTTGAGATAAATTTATATTATTTATTTGGGTTGGAAAAAATTTTGGGCAAAATTTTCTTAACTCCTTTCTTGATGTCCTGATTTTTGATATAACTTATGAAATTTTAAAACTATATTAGGGGTCTCATTCGATTCGTACAAGCATCTAGCAGCTACTATTTAAATGTTTAACATCTATAACTATCTTTCCATTTAACTATCTTTCCATCTAACTATCTTTCCATAACTTATCAACTGACATCAATATCTTTGTATACTGTTGTGTACTGTTGGTGTGGGAAGCATTTTGGCGTATGCATGGGAGTCTTGAAGAGGATAGTTTTTCTTGTTATCTTACTTCGATCTAAAAGTTTCCGCAAAAATATAAAAAATGTCATATTTCGGAAAGGATTGAATTTCGAATTTCGGATGAATATGGTGCATATCTTCTATATATCTCTCTTTAGGTAGAAGAAACTAATGGCAAGTCTCCTCATTTAAGTGCCATTTCTAGTTCTTCAAGATTTAAAATCCCAAAAATGTCTGCATAACATGTTAAGTAAATAATCGAGCTATATAATATCAAATAGTTACAGGTCACTACTTCAAACAATTCTTATTTTGATGTTAATTCAAAAATGTTTATGTAAAATAAAAATTTGCTTAAAACTTTTTGAAGCAATGTTCTGCCAATGTTTGCAAAAATGGAAAATTTAATGTCAAGTCATCTCCAGTTTTCTGTCTTCTTAATTTGGCGAACTGCAGATAAAATTATCAAGGTTGGCAGTTCTTTGAAAGATATAAGAAGTCTTCATTTTCGTAAGTACTTACAAAAAACACATCATATGTCCACCATATTATTCGCCTAACATTCATCTAACCCGATTTCTATTTTCATTAGGAGTTGTCATATAACTTAAGATTAGATCCACATTGGCTGAGCCATCTCTCAATATCGAAGGTAAAAATTGCACTCGTTGAATCTGGGCAACATCCAAAGCACAATGCATAAATAAAGTATATGGCCACAAATCAACATGTATAACACAAGATTGCTAGAAAGTGGGACTTTTAATAGTTGATTAGAAATATTTATGTTAGAATTGTTGGAATATAGTTAAGTATAAATTGTTGGGTATAGTTGTTGGAGAAGTTCACCAACATGTTTTTTAATCCTCAGATTAGCGTCCAAATAAATATAAAAATTAGTAGATATCAATAATATTAATAGATAGCTTAACTTATGAGTTGACTTAAACGAGGTTATTCATAGAAAACTTAGAAGCAATAATTGATGACTAATAAAAGAAGTAATATTTTAAGATTGAGATTTAATTTCTATGTGGGTACAACTTAATGATGTAGATTAGGTGTAATATGGAGGTCTCCCATATCTCAGATATAATAAGGTCTTAATGCCATAAAGTATCCTACAATATAATAGACTGTGGCCGACTAAGGCAGATAATTTATCAAAATTTACCGCTATATATGTCAAACCAGTCAACTAAGATAATGGTATTGTGGAATTTTTAATAAGTGACGAAAACCATAAAAGAAGACCTTGTTCGGAATGATGTCCAACCAGAACCAAGAACTTCCATGTGCAATTAAGTTTGCGTTGATCAACTGTCAGAAGAATTTTAGTCTTAGTCTTGCATATTATGTATTCATAAAAATTTAAAGTTTATTCCCATTACTGCCAATGAAATATCAGTTAAAGACACATGAGAGGTTTTATGTTCATAGTTATTACATTATAGTAATGGCAAATAGTCACAGAAAACTTTATTTTATTGGCGTGTATATCAAGATAATCGGATGATGCGCAAGCGAGCTATTAAGGTATCTTTACAAATTTTATATATTTGGTGGAAAAATCTAAAATGGTAATCTTTGTATCAAACAGCAATGAAAAACTTTGCATGAAAGCTGCAAAGTCAAAAAGTTTACATATGTGAAATCTAAAAATATCTAATAATAATTACAATGGCCTTAACATATATTTTGATTTCTTCTATACATCAGAACTCCAATAGTAATTATAATAGTGGCAAAGAAGAAATTGTAATGTATTAGATGTGAACAGTACAGATGAAGAATGCTATGTAGATTTAGATATAGATTTTGATGGCCAATGTAATGTTTTTAAAAAGTCCATATGGCTCATCTGTTAATTCATATATTGCGTTCCAAGCGTTCAAAGACAATTCAAAAATGAATCTTTTGAACTTTGGTAATAAATTGAGAGTGCAGTTAATAACTGCTGAAATCGTTATAAAGCGAACACTTTAACTAGAAGACCCACTTTCTGATACAGAAGATAATAAGCAAAACTGTTTGCATCACACAAATAAAATACAAAAACTGTTGAAGTTGAATTAAAGTAATGATAGCTGTTGTCTAAATTATCAGAAATGTTAATATGTAACTTCTAAATAATCTTTTATAGAGAATTGTAACATTTATTGCGGATAATCTGTGTTAATTTTCATGTGGTTTCAGATCTGTTGAGATTTTGATGAAGAGTCATGGTTAAATTTCCTAGAGATAACTGCTTAAAGAACAACCAATTTTATGTTTACGACGATTCTTACGTCTGATTTGAATTAGCCATATTAAAAAGTGAACAAAGAGCATAGAATAGAAAACATATCTAATATGCTCAAGAATTCTATTGAAATTTTATTATCATCAAAGAAAATTTTGCGAAATTTGTGAATCATATTGATGATTTGGGTACACTACTAATATTACCGATTTGATACCCTCTGCAACTGCTTATTTATAAAGGCTAGGATCCGTAAATCCTAATGAAATTCTTAAGATAACCAGCTAAAATTAAACGATTAGAAATGTTTGAAAATTTAAATCCAACCTCATATTGTTTGAATAAAGACTTTAGTCAAATTCATACATTAGACTAAATAAAAGATTTAATCCACTTTTAATCCGCATCCAAGTATTGTATCTAATAGCAACTGTGAAAACTTTGATACACAAAAATTATTAATTAATGGCATTAGTGGCATTTCAAAATTTGGATGTGTCTCAATCATAAAACTTTTTAAGTAAATGGAACAATTTTGTCTAAATCTCAAGAACGTTAAGAAAATTTGAACCTGGATTAAACTTGCTTCTTTGAAAATTTTTGATTATAACAGTTAGGATGAAATAATTGAAGAAACAAGATATGCTACGCAGACGATGCAGTCTTAATCTTTAAAGACGAAGTAAAGAATATTGTTTAAATTCGAGAAAATGGCAGAGAAGTATAATATGAAAATCTCAATGTAGATAACGCAGTTCCTAACAATAGTCAAAGAACCAAGGAAGTGAAAACTGGCGGTTGCAATCGTAATATAGATCAGGACAATAGGGACCTGAAAAAAGATGGTGAGGATCTATAAGATGTTTGTAAACCGGTTATGACATCCGTCATTGAAACAAGGGCGGATAACACCATAATCAAAAGGCTTCTTCGAACCATAGAGATGAAAATCGCTTGAGCAACTATGGCTATTCTTTGCTGGACTGTATAAGAAGCTGTGGGGTGCAGAGAGAAAATTACATGGGATTAGAGCTGGAGTTCAACGACCCAGTCGAGACAGTCAACTGCTGAAAAAAGATATGGCCGGGCTGTATTACAAAAGAAGAAACAAGAAGAAGCACACATTGCCCATTTTTGTACACTCAAGGTTCAATTATTTCAATGGGGCGATTACATTCGGAATTATTTTAAATTGTTGTCATTTTTTCACTTTATTTGCCAATAAATAGTTGTTCGCCATATTACTTTTTTCTTTTTATTTTGATTCGTGGAGACTTAAATTTTTTACGTTAAGATTCTCCAATAGTAAGAGATGAAACTATTAATAATAAGATGTATTTATATGAATGTATGGTTCATATCAGAATCTAGGTCTTCATTAATGCTCGTAATGTTACCTTTCAAATCTTCAATTCATAGTACCTTTAAAAAATAGCAGCATCTTGAAGTATAATTTACATTCCTTTCCATATCTGTCTTTTAAATCCATTTATTTTAAGTTTTTCAACCTAAATTAATGCACAATACCATGATAGGAATTTTAGTGTATGGTATATATTAATTGATTTGGGATCATTTTCAAAAAGTTTACTTTAAGTTGAAAATGAAGAAATGGTCTGCAAGACGCTGACCAACATCGCGAATCATTTTTGGACAAAATGGAAGATTCCTAACCTCTCTGCTGGTATTGATGTACCGAAAATTCAAGCTATTAATTGTGGGATAATCTATTGTAGGTGTCAATTATAGATTTATCGCTGTGGACTTGGGAATATTCAGCAAAGAAAGTGCTGGTGACATATTTTCTAGAATCAATGTGAGAATAGAAAAGGCAGAGAAAATTTCAATTCAGTTTTACCAAAAACTATTATAATTGTGGGTATTTTATCGTACAAATAACGTTTGTTATAAAAATTAATTCAAGTAATTCTTAACTGATCTTCTTCATGGTTAACTTAGCATTCAGTAAGTTTTGTTTTCACGTATTATTGTACATGACTATTGCAATTTTAATCATGGTTAAAATAAGTATTAATTACAGAGATATCAATAAATTTGTCTAGTTATAAAACCCATTTCTAATTGATTCATGCCATATCATACTCGTTTAAATCTTCAAATTTGAAATTAAAAACTAATAAATAAAATAAAAAGTCGTAAACCAAGTTATGACTCTTTTTCCTTCACTATTTTTAAAACCACTCTATAATTAATGATTAAACAAAAAAAAATCTTAAATGTACTATATTTATTTTGGTTGGTTTTATTTTGCGATTTTCGTGATTTTTTCTATTTACACTCGAATGAGATCAACGAAAATCACAATTCTCTTTGGAATAACCAAATTATCATTATCATTAAAAACTATAATTATTACTTAAAACACTTAAAAGA